TATTCCATATCAAATATAAAATCTAGTTCATGTTATTGCAATTTTGTAGTTTTTATAGCAATGTTTTTGCCCAAGAGCAAGACACGACACGCGCCCAGAATTTATAGAATTTTCGAATAAATTCAAAACCATCATCAATTCAAAAATCAAATACACTGAGCGCAGCTGTGATCATATACATATATAGATATATATATATGTGTTGCATACCCTGTATCTTTAACTAACTCTAACTCAATGTTTCGATGTAAATTTCAAATTTGAAACATTTAAATAGAATCCAATATGAATATGATTATTAATAGTCTATTAATACAATAGATATTTGCATTATTTGGGTAAGAGTATAAAGGCAAACACCCGCACGTGTAGCTGTCTATATCCATGTGTGTGTGCGTGTGTGTGCCGTGTGTACTCTCATGTGGGTGAACAAGTAGTTTATACAGCTGCTCGATCAGTCAACACCTTCGACTGTAAATTGTGCCTGGTCGACGTTGTGTATTTCGGATTGGAATTGCAAATCGTTGGCCACTCAATCAAGTCGAATCACCAGCCGAACACAAATTGCAGCTGCAATTTCCATTCAACTAAAAAGCCCATGAATTAGTGGAAAATTAAAGAAAAGAAAATTGTCTGGAAAATTCAGGTAATTCTCAATGAATTTTTAAATTGATTCGTCTTATGCAGTTGATGTGACTGAAATTAAGAATTCTTTGAATTATATTTTAGGGAAAAATTAATTTAAGCTCCCAATTCGATAGTAAATTTGGTATTAAGCTTGATTTTTTTGAAAGGCCTAAAGACTTTTAGTTCCTTTGAATGAAAAACATAATTAAAAGTGAGCTGGTTTTTGCGATCATTAAGGGATTAAGTTTCTTTTATATGTTTGTTGTTATTTATGAAATTTTAAATATCTTTTCAATAGGTGTCTATGACAAATCAATCTATATGCATTGAATGATTTAGAGCTCAGAAACGCAGATGTTCACAATTTCTAATGCAGGTTATCTTTAGATAAAACCCAATAAGAACTATTCACATTGGAATGTAAAGGCTTTAATTTTTTTAAAGTACAAATTTCGCTTTCGTTGTAAAAATAGTAGTAAAAGATCAGCCAGCAGTCAGTCAATTAGTCGGTCGATCGAGCCACTCTTATATCGGTCAATCAGTCAGTCGGGGAGTCAATCGGGATCAGTCAATCGATCAGTCAGTCATTCAACCAATCTATTTATCAGTTATTAGTCAAACGATCAGTCAGTCCATCAGTCAATCCATCAGTCATTAAGCCACTCTATTAAACCGTCGATCAGTCAATTGATCAATCAGTTTGTACAATCAGTCAGCATAATCAACACAACCTCTCATAAAGACTTCCCTCAACTCTCGATCTGCTAGTCAGCATCATATTTATGTGTAGTACCACACTTACGATCCCCAATCTTCGATCCCAGTTTCCACTTACCGTTGGGTCCAAGCAACGTGGGCACTTGCACGTGAAGCCCTTCTTCATCTTGAGGAACAGATGTCGCGCTATGTTGCCCGTGAAGAGTTTCGTATAGGTGGTGGTTATCTCCTCGCCCTCGGCAATGTCGACAGCGGCACGCACGATCATATTGTTGGTCTTCTCCTCGAAGGTGTAATACGAGTTGGGAATGCAATCGTGATTCATGACAGCGAACAGCGGATAGAGGGCGCGATAGTTGAACTCCTGGTTGTCGGTGGTGCGATCTGTTGTCTTGTCGAAGCCGTTCGTCCTTAGCACGGCCACGGTGCGGTTCATGATCTCCACGATCTTCTTGTCGGTGGGGAAGTTCTTGAAGCACTTGGCCGCATTGCGCACCTCGGTGCGATGATTGTTGTCCAGATTCGCCTGCAGGCAGTAGATCAGATCGCGCTGATCTTTGCTCAAATTGATGGCGCGCGCCACGCACAGCAGGCGTATGATCACTGAATTGGCCACGTCCGGCTCGTTGGAGCCCCACGCTTTGAACATATCGCAATCGGTCTTGTGCTGCTTCTTTTTGGCGCACAGACTGCAGACGGGCAGGCCGCAGCCCTGGCGGCACATGAAGCGCGTGTCGGGCAGCATCTTGAAGCAGACGCTGCACGCGTTCAGCGTGTCCTCCTCGTGGGCAGCCAGGCCGATCAGGAGCGGGCTATCCTGGAAGATGATCTCGCCGCGCTTCAGGTTGCGCGTGGCCATCACGCCACGGCCGGCGATCTTTGAGACGCCCACCTCCCAGGCGGGATCCTTGTCCTTGAACGGCGCCAGATGCAGATCCAGCAGCTCCGACGTGCGTTTCGGGCAAATCATTGTCAATCGTCGATCGTCAAACACTTCAACACCTGCTTCAAATGCGTTCAACCACAATCTCACGAAAGGCCACCAAACAAAAATGAAAAAACGTTGCCAAAAGTCCAAACGCTTCGCTTTGCTCTCAATCTGAATTGGAATTCTCAATTCGCTTGATTTCAAATTTCCAATTGTGAAAATTTCTAATTTTCAAATTTTTAAATTTTGCAATTTCAATTTGTATTATTTTTTATTGAATTTTGATTTTGTTTTTAGATCCAACACTCGATAAAGTTTTTCGCTTTTGTGCCACTTGCCACGAGTTTCACGGCTGCCGTTCGCAAACTGTCGCCGTTTTCCAGCCTTACATGATTTTTATGTGAAAAGTCGGAAAATGTTTCGCGCAAAAATCCGAAAGTCCGAAAATCGAATAATTTCGTTTAGCATTTCGGCTTGCGGCACGAGGCGAGTGCCGAGTCGGGTCAGAGACGAGCCAAGCAGCCGCAGCTCATTATGATAAACAGTGGATAATGTTTGTGTTGATCATAATGACGATGATGATGTGGATGATGAAGATGACTTGATAGTATTGATAGACTCGATGTTACTACTAAAACTGATCAAGTGTAAAGCAATTTTGAATTTAACAAAGGAAATTAGCTACAGAGTGAGAGGGAGGGACAGAGAAGAAAGAAAAAAGAGTGAGAGAGAGAGGGAGAGCGTGAGAGAATGAGCATTATTGGAAAGAAGAGGAGAAAGATAGAGCAGAGTGAAGGAGACTTGGAGAAGGGGCGAAAGTTTGAGAGAGAGAGAGAGAGAGAGAGAGCGAGAACGAGAGAGCGAAAGCGAGTAAGCAGAAAGGGACAGAGAGAGAGAGATGACGAGTGATAGAGAGAAGTAAATAAGATAGAGATTACACATGACAGAGAGATAGAAGAGGAATCATATAAACGAGGGCGAGTGAGAAAGGGAATAGAAGAAAAGAGTGAGCGAAAAAAATAAAGATGAAATGGGGAAAATAAGAAGAGGCAGAGAAAGTAAATCTAACTGAGATAGAGAGAGAATGAGGAAGTGAGAGATACAGGCATACAGCGAGAGAGAAACTGAGATAGAATGAACGGGAATAGATAGGTAAAGAGTAACGAGTGAGAGATGGAGAGAGAGGGGGAAATAGAGAGATAGAGAGAGACAGAAAAGGAGAAATAATGACAAAGATATATAGAGAGAAGGACTGGGAGAGAGAGAGAGACAGAGAGAGAGAGAGAGAGAGAGAGAGAGAAAGTGTGACAAAGTGCTAGAGAAAGAGTGACAGGGAGAGAGAAAAAGAGAGTATCAGAGACTGTGAAAGAGGTAAAGCAAGCGGGAGAGATAGATAGATATGGGACGAAATAGAAAATGATTGAGAAGAGATAATGAGTGAGAGGGGGGAAATGTATAAGAGGGCAGCGAAAGATAGTGATATAGGGATAGAGAGAACGAAAAGCACCTTTGAAGCAGAAGTGGAACGACGCCAACGCCCACGACCAAGTCATTGCGCCCCCACCCCCAGCCCGCCCGCTATTGGGGGCATCGCCATTGGCGCCGTCACACTCAAGAGGTGAAACGGATTACAAGTGTTAAGCGCAAAAATCTGGTGGAAAAAAAAAATATATATACACATACATATATAATGAAAGAACGGGGCGACAAGTTCTAGCTGACAGCAACGGCTGCAGATGTCTATGGCTGGATGGATTGATGAATAAGCCACGGGCTCCCAGCAAAAGCGAGCAGAGCCCGGACCCCCGAACGGTCGAATGTCTCAAATGCGCCGCCAGTTGAATGGCTGTGTCTGTGGCTGTGGCTGTGCCCGTGGCATAGGGGCATAGATTTGTGCACCTCTGACAGTTTGCTGGAGGAGCGCCAAAAATGAATGGGCGATTGGAGTGGGGGGGAGTGCGAAAGAGAGACAGAGCGAGATAGAGAGATATGCAAAATACAAACTCGACAAGCTTAAATCATTTGACATTCTTGTTCAGATGTTTGTTGTGCCTGCACACTCGTGCCCGTACTTGATGCGATCCGCAATTAATCGTCTCCGTCGACTGATCTCTGTGCAATTACCCCGTATATTGGACATGACAGCCAGAGGAGGAAGCCGCTGCGTCTTCCAGCTGAACAATTTATGAGGTCTACGACTCCAACGGCTTGAAAGGGTGCACATTGATCCATGATGAATGTTTCTTATTAGCATGATTATTTCCATCTTTATTTATTTTGGACTTTAATTATATTTATAAATCTACCAATAAGTATTCCTATTCCATTATTATAAAAAATGATTTCGTTGAGATTTATTTTATTTTTTAAGTATAAAG